AGGTCGGGGCTGAGGGGTGCCCAGTGGAGGAAGGGGGGTGTGTGCATGTTGTTGTTCATGCGGAGTCTCCTCCCCCCGCCCAGGCCGTGTGCTGCCAGGACCATGCCCATTGCTGCCCCAAGGGACACACGTGCGACCCGTCGGGGGGCCACTGCCAGCCGCCCGCCGCCCCCATCCCCTGGCTGGAGAAAATCCCAGCACGAGTGCGAGCGCCCTCTACTGGCCGAGACGTGCAGTGCGACGAGCAGACCAGCTGTCCTGACGGCAACACCTGCTGCCGGCTGTCCACGGGGGCCTGGGGCTGCTGCCCCCTGGTGGAGGTGTGTAGGAGCACGGACTATAGGACATGGTGGGGGGCCCTAGCGATGGTGGGGCTGTGTATTGGGGTTGGGGGGGCAGGGCCCAGCGAAGAGGGGGAAGGATGGGGCTGGCGGGCGCCCAGCGGAGGAGGGGGAAGGGTGGGGCTGCGGGTTGGGGCTGGCGGGCACCCAGCGGAGGAAGGGCTGTGGGTCGGAGCTGGCGGGAGCCCAGCGGAGGACGGGAGGGGTGGGGCTGCAGGTCGGGGCTGAGGGGTGCCCAGTGGGGGAACGGGGCGGGGTGCGTGTTGTGGTCACACATGCTGAGTCTTCTCCCCCCGCCCAGGCCGTGTGCTGCCAGGACCATGCCCATTGCTGCCCCAAGGGACACACATGCGACCCGTCGGGCCACTGCCAGCCGCCCGCCGCCCCCATCCCCTGGCTGGAGAAAATCCCAGCACGAGTGCGAGCGCCCTCTACTGGCCGAGACGTGCAGTGCGATGAGCAGACCAGCTGTCCTGACGGCAACACCTGCTGCCGGCTGTCCACGGGGGCCTGGGGCTGCTGCCCCCTGGTGGAGGTGCGTTGGCGCACGGGCTACAGGACATGGTCAGGTCTGAGGGGCCCTAGTGATGGTGGGGCTGTGGGTCGGGGTTGGGGGGGAGGGGCCCAGTGAAGAGGGGGAAGGATGGGGCCGGTGGGCCCCCAGCGGAGGAGGGGGAAGGGTGGGGCTGCAGGTCGGGGATGAGGGGTGCCCAGTGGAGGAACGGGGGGGGGCGGTGCGTGTTGTGGTCACACATGCTGAGTCTTCTCCCCCCGCCCAGGCCGTGTGCTGCCAGGACCACGTCCATTGCTGCCCCAAGGGACACACGTGCGACCCGGCGGGGGGGTGCCAGCAGGCCCTGCTCTCTGTGCCCTGGGCACCCAAGGCTACAGCTCACATTATTGCTGCCGCCCAGAGCCGAGGCGTGAAGTGCAACCAGACGGTCAGCTGCGAGGATGGGCAGACCTGCTGCAAGAGCGGGATGGGCTCCTGGGCCTGCTGCCATCTGCCAAATGTGAGGGCGGGGAGGGGGGCTGTGCCTGTGCAGGTGCACTGCCCACCCCTGCCACTGTGTCCCTGAGGGGGGTGGAGTGGGGTGAGGCCTTGGCACCTCACAGCCATGTTTGTGCCCTGTGGCTGCGCTGTGCCCTTCCTCGCCCCTTGGCCTGAAGAAGGATGTCTCTAGGGCTTAAAGTGCGAGCCAGGACTCCTGGGTTCTCTCTCCGGCTCTGGGAGAGGAGTGGGGGCTGGTGGGTTAGAGCAGTGGTTTTCAGACTGAGTCGTGACCCAGAATTGGGTTACAGCGGCTCTGGTCAGTACCACCGCCTGGGCCGTTACAAGTCCCCTTGGTGGCGCTGCCCGGCTAATGCCTACCTGTTCTGACACCGCGCTGCGCCCCAGAAGTGACCAGCAGCAGGTCCGGCTCCTAGGTGGGGGTGCCAATGGGAGCTGGGGGGTGGTGCCTGTGAGCGAGAGCTGCGTGGAGCTGCTTGCGCGCCTCCACCTAGGAGCCAGGCCTGCTGCTGGCCACGGTGCCAGGACAGGCAGGAAGCCTGTCTGTCTTAACACCCCTGCTGACCAGGAGCCGCCTGCGGTAAGCCTGTGCCCCAATCCTCTGCCCCAGCCCTGAGCCCCACCCAGAGCCCCTTCCTGCACCCCAAACCCCTCATCCCCACCCCAAGCCTGCACCCCAACCCCCTGCCCTGAGCCCCCATGATCCCCTCAGTGCCAGCCCCACCCCAAAGCCCTCACCCCTGCAACCCAACCCTCTGCCTGAGCCCCTCTCAATCCCCTCATCCCCAGCTCGGTTGGGTCATGGGCATCAACAATTTTCTTCAACTGTGTCGCCAGAAAAAAAGTCTGAAAACCACTGGGTTAGTGTGGGTGGGTGGAGGGGGGGCTGGTGGGTTAGCGTGGGGGAGGGGTTAAGAGACTCCTGGGTTCTCTCCCTGGCTGTGGGAGGGTGGTGGGTGTTGGGGGAGGGGTCAGGAGCCAGGGCCCCTGGGTGATGCCCTGCGGGCCTGGCCAGGCTGCTCTGTCTCTGCTCGGTGCTGGCTGACCCCTCTCTCCCCAGGCTGTGTGCTGTGAGGATCACCAGCACTGCTGCCCATGGGGCTACACCTGCAACCTGGCCACACAGAGCTGTGAGAAGCACCAGGCTGGCCGAGTGCAGCCCGTGGACCTGAGCCTCTCTGCCTCCCTGCTGCCCGCCAGCCCGGAGCCCAGCAACGACGTGACCTGCGACGCCCAGCACTACTGCCATGCCCACCAGACCTGCTGCAAGGCTGCCTCGGGCACCTGGGCTTGCTGCCCCTACCGCTGGGTGAGGGGTGGGCCTAGCGGGACCCCGGGGGGGGGGAGATGTGCTGGCTGCCCCAGAGCAGCACAGAGCCCTGCAGCTCACGGCTCCAACATCTGCCCAGCCCCTCCCGCTGGCTGCCTGCTGCGGACCCTGGACCTTGGCCCCTCCCACCCATCTGCCTGCTGTGGCCTCGGGCCCCCCCAGCCATGCTGCGCCCAGGGCTGGAGGTCATTCTACAGGGGAACCAGGGGGAAGTTGGGGGGACTGTGACCTGCCCCAGCTGCAGGGCAGCTGCTCCCTCTGCGGGGGCCCCCCTCTATGCTCCAGCCCGGTTGCCCCCAGCAGACAATAACATGCCTCTCGTTTCTCTGCAGGGCTCCTGCTGCTCTGATATGCGCCACTGCTGCCCCTTCGGCTACCGCTGCTCCAAGTCGGGCCTCGACTGCAAGCGGCGCTGGCTCCTGCGTTGGGACGCCGGCGCCCCCCGGCCCCACCGCCTGCTGTGAGGTGCCCGTGGGGGCCGACCCAGCGCTGAGGGGTGGCTGTGCCCATACTGAGGGGGCAGTGGGGATTGCTCTGACCCCTCAGTCTGTCTGTCTCACTTCCAGCCTCAGGGCCCTTTTCTCTGGCTGCCCCAGGGCATGCAGGCCCTATTCGCTGCAGGACCTGTCCCACCCAGCCCCCCTGGAGCTAAGCACGTGGGGCTGAGCGCCCCCCCCCCCCCTTGCCGTGAGCGTTTAACCCTGGACGCAGCAGTGTGGGCGCACACATCCCGATGCTTCGTTCTCTGCTCCCCTTGCTGCTGTTAGCCCCAAAGGTCCTGTGGGCACCAGGAGTGGCCCTTTCCTGCTGGAGGCCTGAAGGTTAAGGCTCCCCCCTCCCCACTCTAGGCTCTTCTCCTTTGGCCGGGGCCTTGAAGCTGGCCTGGGCCGGGCCAGGCCCTGCTTCCCTACCACCTGGGCGCCAGGGAAGCTGGGCTGCTTTGCTTTTTACACTCCTGGGGCCATCTCCATCCCTACATTTCTCCTGGGCCCTCACGCCCCTCCCTGCGTCCTGCACGTGAAAGCCAGGGCTGGGCAGGCAGCGGGGTGGGGGTAGGGCACTGCAGCATCTGGCTCCTGGCGCCCTCCTACCTCAGTCCCTGAATATGCATTGCCCTGAGCTCATGCCTGCATTGTCTGCTGGGCACTATGGGGGAGCATGTCCTTATTCTAGCCCCCCCTTCCAGGGGTCTTGGAAATGCCCAGCCCCTGCCCCCAGGGCTGGAGTGGCACCAGGCCCTCTGGTCACCAGCTCCCTTGCCTCTAAGTGTGCCCCACCTGTGGCTGGAGCCTGGGCCAGGAACGGGGGGGGCCTGGTGCCATTAGGGCTGAAGTGGCTGGAAGAGTGTGAGAACCAATAAAGGGTGTGGAGGAAGGTGCTGATGTCAATCCTGTCTCCTTCCCCCAGCCACGGGGGCTGTGCCACCAGCGTACACATCTCCCTGCTGCCCCTAGCCTGGACTCCAGGGCCCTGCCTTGCCCTCCCTTCTCTTCCCTGGAACAGAGCTGCCCCTCCTGTGCCCCCTGGCATGCAGCTGTGGCCCATCCAGCCAAGTGGGGAGCACCTGGGCCTGGACCCACAGCCTGCCCTGGGCAGGGATTGGGTGCAAAGCAGCTGCTCTGAGGTTCTGCCTTGCAGGAGAATGGCACAAAAGCACCTGCCCTGGGCAGCTGCCAGCTGTTATTCTGAGCCCAGCTTTGCTTTAATGTAAATGGGGCCAGAGCGGGGCAGGCTCAGGTGCTGCTGCCAGCCTAGAGCAGCATTGCACAGCCACCCACTGGGTGCCTGCCTCCCCTCCCAGCTGTGCCCACGTGCCAGGGGGGCCCTGCTTTTGCATTCCAGCAGGCCGTACAGCAATGGCACTCTTGCTCGTCCTGGGCCCAGCCTGGCCCACGTTGCTGCTATGCAGCCCCCAGGCAGGGGGAAGGAGCTGTCTGCACTGAGCGAGTGTCCCTCTAATCAGCTGTCCAGCAATAACCACCCTGAGCCAAGTGTGGGCCCAGCCCTGGAGCTAGGCCCCGCCTAGCATTGCACAGGGGAGCTGATGGGCAGCGCATATGGAGGAACCAGCCAGACACGGGGGGGTGTCAAAGGGTTTTATATATTAATGCCATTCTAGAGAACACATTGGGAGTGGGGGGGGGCCCCCCCACAGGCCAAGCTGGCCCCAGCCTTGCTCCCAGGATCAAACTCAAGGGGTTTCACGTGCAGCCCATGGGCTGGAGGGGGCACCAGGGCACAGATCTGTGCCAGGCTGCCCCCGGCCCTCTGCCTGCAGGAGGGTGACAGGGTCCAGGCACAGCTGCAGCTCTCCTCTCACCCCAGAGAGAACTTCAGAAATACCAGCATTAAAATCCAAGCAAACCAGGGGCTGTAGGGCAGGGGTAGCGCAGGAGGGCCTGAGCCAAGGTGCCCGTGTGCCACTGCTGCCCGCACCTGTGTCAGAGGCTCCATGGTTGACAGATGCAGCGCCAGGGGCCAGTGCTCTGGGAACAAGGAGCACGGGGGCCTGCCACTCTGGCCCCAGCATGGCCAACCCGGAGCTGCTCTTGGGGGTGGGATGGGGGCACAGGTGCTCGTGCTGTGGAGTCACCTGTCAGGTCTGACCAAGTCTCCTCCCCCCCAACCCAGCCCTCAAGGGGGGGTCCCAAACTAGTTCCCTGCAGCAGGCAGTTGCCAATCAAGCCTCATGGTTGAGAGCAGGGCCCCTGCCTCTCTCGAGGGGGTGGTTGGGATTAGCTGTGCCCCACCCTGACATGCTGAAACCTTTCGGGGAGCTGCCTGGGGCTAGCAGCCTACCCAGCTCCTGCTGTGTCAGCTACCCCTGGGCTCCAGCCATGCCAGTGGCCAGCTGCCGGAAGAGGCCCTCGGAGCCATCTAGCATGCTGTGAGGGGGGGATGGGCCTGGCAGCTGTAGGAACATCTCCCCCTTGTCAAGTCGAGGAAGTTAGTGGCAAGGAGTTCCACAGGAAAATGATGCCCCAAAAATCACAGCCCCCCCTCCAGGGGGCGAGTGGAAATTGGACACAAACAGGCTCCAGCTGAGCAGGCGATTGCAGTAGGCAGGAGTGATAGGGCAGCAGCACACATAGGGCAAAAAGACACAGAGGTGAAAGTAAAAGCCACAGGTGGGTGTTTTATTCCCTAGGGGTCCCCCCCCCGACTCTGCCCCAGAGCCCCCAGCTAGAGCCTGCCTGGGTGTAGAAGCCAACAGCAGCTGCTTCTCAGCCAAGTGCATCCGCACCCCAGGGTGGCACTAGCAGGTGCAGCAGGAAGTGCCTTGAAAATGCAGCCTCCAGGGCCCTGCCCCACAGCCCAGGCCAGGGTAGGGGGAGATCCTACACACCTTATACAGGGTAGGGCTGGCTGATCCCCTGGCATGCTTGAGGGCCAGCGCTGGGGGGATCCCAGCCTGGCTCTGCAGGCAGCTCCCAGTCTGCATGGTGGGATGCTGCCACCCCCCACCCTCGCTGGAGGCAGCAGCCAGCCTGGGGAAAGCAGATGAGGAAAGAGGAGGATTGAGCCGGCTCTGCGCACACGGCCCAGCTGTGCCACTCGCCCTGCAGCGCAGGGCACAAAGGCACTTGGAGGAGAGGATGGGGAGCTGTGTGGGGGGGCTGGAGGAGGCTCCACGCAGCCCCAGGGTGTTAGGGATGCAGACAAAGGTCAGGCTCCCCTAGCAGCCCCCATGTACCCGCTGCAGCCATTGGAGTCTGGCAGCGCCTGGGTGGCCAGGCCACAGGAGCAGAGCTGGGCTCTGCTTTGCTGCAGCTCAGGCGGCCCCAGGCCAGGTGCAGGGCTGCCCCACCCCGGCCAGGCAGGTGCAGCTGGGGCTGGACGGCGAGGTGCTAGTTGATGGGCACCATCCTCAGCCATTCCACACACCAGCAGGGGCAGGGTGCTCTTAACCCCTTCCAGCCTGGTGTCATGGGGGAGGAGCAGCCGCAGCTTGTTCTGGCTCCTGGGGGGCTCCGCTCTGCCGTCTCTTCCCTGGATGGTCTGCCCAGGCCCCACGGAGAGTGTGCTTGGAAACAGGGGCTGGGCCAGGCTGCCCCAGGCCCTGCCCCCCACCTGACTCAATCCCTTCACTCTGCCCGCTGGGCTGGCGGGGGTGGGGGGGCTGCTGAGTCCTCGAGTTGCCCCTCCCCCAGCCCCTGCCTAGCAGGGGGGCCTGGCATGCAGCAGCCCCGACAGATGGTACTGGTGGTAGGGAGATCAGCCCCCTGCCCTGTCCCGCTGCCACAGCGTCTCCTCCCTGCTCTGGGCCGTCCCCCGAATGGCGGGGGGGGGTGCGACAGACAGTGCCCGGCTGCAGGGGGGAGCAGGTCACTGGTTCTCTGTCTGGACTGCCCTGGGGGTCAGTCCCACTGCCTCCCAGCGTGGGTCCCTCCCTTCCCCTGCTCCCCCACAGAGCTCACCCCTCAGGACGAGAGGGCTGGGGGGTCTTTGGGGTCCTGGTCTGGAGTCGCCCTGGTCACAGGGGCCTCCCCGGGGGCACGGAGCGATCAGTCATGCAGCACCTCCCCGTCAGGCGCTGGGATCCAGCCCCACCCCCTCCTCTGCCCCCCAGGGGCTGGCGCTGGCTCCGGGGGGGGGGCACAGGCCCCCCCTGCTTACTTCACATTGAAGACCATGAGCGGGCGCTCCTCGCGCTTCTGCCAGGGGCTCTTCTTGTCACCCGGCTCGTCGCCACCCTCGGCCGGGTCGGTCAGCTCGTCCTCAGGGCTGGTCATGGAGTCCCGGCGCAGCTCGCTGGCGCTGCTGCGGGAGCTGGTGCCCCGGCTGCGGCCCCGGCGGGGGATGGTGGCGGCCCGGGCCTCAGCCGTCTCGTCCAGCAGGGGTGTCAGGGAGTTGTCCTCGGGGGAGCAGATGGCCGTGCGGCTCTCGCTGCTGCTCTGCTCCGCGTCATCGGGGAAGGCCAGCTTGGAGTAGGCGGTGGGGGCAGGGGGCCGCTCCCGCTCCTCCTTGGCCCGCTTGTGGGGCTTGGCTTCGTGGACGTCCACGCCCGAGTCCAGGCTGGCGTCGTTGCTGCGGCTCTTCTCGCTGCCCTGCAGGTCGATGTAGGAGTGGCGCACCTGGGAGGAGCGCCCGTCCAGCGAGACAAACCAGGCCCGCGGGTGGGGCTTCACCCCCAGTTCCAGCAGCTTCTTCTCCGTCAGTGCCTGCAGCTCCCCGTTCAGCTGGGCCATGGTGGACTCGTTGAACAGCACCGGGATGGTGACGGAGCCGCTGACCGAGGAGGAGTGCGCCCCCCAACCCTTGCCCTCCGAGTCCTCGCCCTGCTGGTGCTGCAGCTGAAGCTGCTGCTGGAGGAGCTGCCGCTGCTGGTCCTGGGGCCCGAACTGGTGCGGGATGGTCATCCCGGCCTGGCCGGGCAGCCCCTCCATCTCAGGCTGGCTATCTGCCGGGCCAGCCAGGGCCTGTTCCCCGGAGGGGTAATCCGACGCCAGGCGCATGTAGTGGGCCGGGATGACCAAGGTGGGCATGACGTTGCGGTACACGCTGTCCTTCATGTGGTCGATGGAGCCACAGAAGATGAGCTGCCCCGGCTGGGTGAGCGAGGTGGGCCTGGCCAGGTGGTCCACGGACTGCGACAGCATGAAGTCGGGGGGTTTGGGCTCCCCCTTGTGGCCCACGTAGTGGTCAAAGGGGGGCGGCAGGGGCGGCGGGGAGGGCGGCTCCTGGAGGTAGGGCTTACTCTCGTTCCTTGAGTGCTTCCGCGATGGCTCGGTGCCCTTGTCCTCCACGCGCTGGTGGGAGAAGCTGCGCTTGTATTCCTCCAGCATGGAGGGCTCCAGCGCGCCCGGGCCGTCCATGGAGCGCGCGGCCTTAAGCGAGAAGCTCTCCCCGGGGCGCGGGTACTCCTCCTTGGGCGCGCCCCGCTGGCTCAGCGTCTCCGTGGAGGCCTTGCTGGCATGCCGCAGCTTGTGACGGAAGAACTCCTCGCGGGAGCTGCCCAGCTCCCGGGAGCTGGAGAAGGCTGACTTGAGGATGGGCGTGTGCGCGTCGGGGTCGCCGGCCGATGAGGCTGTCTCCAGGTGGCTGGTGCAGATCAGGTTGAGCTGGGACATGGAGGTGGCCTGGTCTCGCTTCGAGGCATCCAGCGGCCCAGACAGCTGCAGCTTCCTGTGCTGCTGTCGGGGTTTCAGGCACCTCCGCCTGGGGAGACAGGACTCGGTTACCAGCTCGCTGGGCCAGCGCAGAGCTGCCTACCCCGAGGGGAACTCGAGAGCCAAGGCGGGGCAGGGGGCTGAGCCAGGCCTGGAGCTAGGCCCCGTGAAGGGCACAGAGATCAAAAGTGGAAAGGGCCAGGAGGACGCAAGGGGTGCAAGCAGGGCCGGCTCTAGGCACCAGCAAACCAAGCACGTGCTTGGGGCAGCCCATTTTCAGGGGCAGCATTCCGGCCACCTTTTATTGTATTTTATTTTATTTTTTTGCTTCGGGCAGCAAAAGTCTAGAGCCGGCCCTGGCAGCAGCAGCACATCGTGCATGGGGGGCGCCCTGGGGCGCAGCACCTGCACCTTGTGGCTGGGCCGGGCGGGCTCTGAGCGGGGGACACTGTGGCGGGGGGCCGCCCTGCGGGGCGCATGGAGCCGCCTGCAGGTGCGCAGGGCGGCGTCCCCCAGCACCGCGGCCGGGGCTGGGCGAAGCGGCCCAAGCTGCCCAGGGGCTGCGGCAGGGTGGCCAGAAGCAGCAGCAGTGGGGCCATAGAGGGTGGGGTGCTGCCGTGCGAGGCCCGGGCTGCGTCCCGCTCTCCGGGGCTCCGCTCCCTCTGGGGCTGCCCTGCCCCGGCTCCTCAGGCCTCTGCCAGGGCGGTCCCTCGGCTCTGCCCTCCCGGGTCCCGGCTGGTCCTGGACGCGGGAGCCCTGGCTGGAGGGACCCTGGGCTGAGGCGCGGACCGAGAGCCCTGCTGCTTATCCGGACCCTGCCAGCGCCGGACCAGCTGGAAGCGAGGGGGGAGTGGGCAGAGTCAGCACTGGTGGGGGGAGCCCAGGGCTGGGGCGGCACGGGGTGCAGGTGGGGGAGGGCACTGGTGGGGGGGGAGTTGAGAGCCCAGGGTTGGGATGGGGGACAGCCAAAATTTTTTTTGCTTGGGGCGGCAAAAAACCTAGAGCCGGCCCTGGGTGCAAGCCAGGTTAGGGGGCTGGGCTACTGCATCCATCCCCTCCCCCACTCCCCTGGTGCCAGCCGCCGCTCCCTCCACCTCCAACAGCAGGGCAAGCTATCCCCTCCAGCCCGTGCCACCCCCTGCTTCCACCGGAGCCCAGGCCCCCTGCCAAGGCCACGTCCCCTCGCCCAGCCAGCCTGACCTCACCTGCAGTAGTAGATGAGCAGACAGAGGAGACTCAGCACCAGCAGCGCCAGCGCCCCCAGGATGGTGAGCAGGAAGATGGTGTGGTACGTGGTGATGTCCTTCATCCCCGACGCCAGCGACACCAGCCCTAGCAAGGCAGGCGGCAGTGGGTCAGAGACAGGCTCGGGAACACAGCCCCACTCCTTCCCGCCGGCAGCTCCCAGCAATCAAGCTGCTTCCTTACCACTTCTGGAGGGGCCGAGGCAAGGCAGGGCGAGCCGGGCAGGCGGCAGGAATGGGGACCTGGCCAGGTCCTGCCGTCGGGACACCTGGGTTCTAGCCCCAGCTCCCCCCACCCGTTCCTGCATTTCCCAATCCCTCTTGTCCTCTTTGGGGAGGGGCCTGTCCTGTGTCTGTGCAGCACCCGGTGTGGAAGGACACAGCTCTTGGCCAGGGCCTCTAGGCACTCCTGTCCCAGCACCACTGAGCAGCGGCTTGCCCTGCCCTGACCGCTCTGTGGGGGAAGATGCTGAAGCCTCCCTGTGCTTTGCCAGCACCCACCACCCCGCCCAGCGAGCAGCTGGCCAAGCACAGGCTCCCCAATTCGGAGGGGGGACCCAGCACCCTGGGAACAGGCCCACCCCCAGCCAGGCACTGAGCAATGCCCAGGGCAGGGAGCTGGCATTCCCAGCTGCTGCCTGAGCGGCATCCGCGGCACCAAGAGTCAGACCAGCTGCTCCCCTGGGGGCTGCTGCTGCCTTCCCGGCGCCCCTTCACGCCCTCCAGGGCTCCTGCCCCCGGCCAGGCCCAAGGTCCACAGGGGCTGCCCGAGAGAGGCTCTGCTCCGGCTGGGGGCCCAGCCTGGGCCCCCCGGCACCCTGGAGAAGCCCGCAGGCCTAGAGCCATCAGGCTCCCCCATGGGGCCAGCCAGGGGCGTCGGCCGGCTCCAGTGCGGGGCCAGGGGCCAAGACAGGATCTTGTGGCCTGGGGGCTGCTCTGCCTGGGAGCCCATTGGAACAACGCCTGGGCTGGGCGCGGCAGCGGCAGCGACAGCTGGGCCAGGCCAGGCCTGGCCACGGGGCCCTGCTTCCTGCCTCCCCATGACTTGCTCTGCTGGTCAGACGGCTCCAGCCCTGACCCTTCCCCTGCGGCTGGGGAGGGCACTGGGCTCCTCCCCCCGAGGCTGGGGGCGGCTGCCTCACCTGTGGTGGGGGAGGGCAGAGCGGCAGCCCAGTACCCCAGCTGGGGTGAGACGAACGTCCAGTACAGCTGGCGCCCCTCCTTCCTGATCAGCCCTGTCCCGTTTCGGAGCCACAGGCCTGGGGGGAGGGGGGGGGCGACAAAACAGAGTCAACCAAGCCGGGAGCGAACCGGCCTCTTTGGCCTAGCATCCAGACACGATGGGACCACTGGCCCATCTCCCCTGCTAGCCGCGCACCCTCCCTGCTGGATCAGGCCCCGGCCCACATCGCCCCACATCCCCTCTCCCGCCATAATGTGTCCCGCCTCTGCCAATGGCCCCCCAGTGGATGCCCCAGAGGAAGGAGTCTGGTTCCCTAGTCACCTCTGTCCTTGGGCCGGGGTGGGGCAATTCCTGTCCCAGCCCGTGCCCTGGAGCATGAGGGTGAAGAGCCTCGCCGAGGGGAGTCCTGTTCCCCTGTTCAAACCTTGCTCGGTTATTGGATCCAACAATATCCTGCAGCAGAGAGTTCCCCAGATTACATCCTCTTTCCTTCAACTACTCAAAGGCTCCTCAGGCCTCTCCTTCCCAAGGAACAAGCCCCACACAATGCTACCCCCCTGATGGTGCTGGCTCCTGCAGACTTGGCTCACTAGGGAGTGGCAGGCTTCTGTCTGTGCCCCAGGCTGGGGCTGAAGAGAAATTCAGTGGCAACACACTGATGGCAGGATGCTGAACTGATCCAAATTCAGACGTGTGAAAAGCAGGAAATGCGGCAGTAAGGCTGCCCATGCAACCTTAACTCTGCCCTCATTCAGCAATGCCCCATAACACCCCCCTTTACTCTGCTTCCCATTCATCTCCATCTGCAGCCCATCCCCTTCACCACAACATCCCCCTGACGTGACTGGAGCCCACGAAGGTTCACACAGAGCCAAGTCCCCGAAAAGGACAGACCATGGGCCCAACCCCAGAGCCACCTGGCAGCCTCAGATGAGTCCCGGACGCTACCTCGGTTCCCCAAAGTGGCACGCGTGCCGTAGGCTGAGGACCCCTGTTCTAGTGTATACTGTGTGTACTGTAGTTTATGGTAATTTTCACTATACGCGATTTTCCTCTTACGCGCTGACCTTAGAACCTAACCCCCGCGTAAGATGTGATTCCACTGTATTCATTTTTGAAAATTTATAATAAGCGATGCTCTGGGGGTTGGGGGGGGTGCAAGGTGGAAGTTTCGCCTAGGGTGCAAAATATCCTTGCACCGGCCCTGGATACTGTGTCAGCTGATCCCCACAGTCTCCCACTTACCTGGGCAGTACAGTAGACATGGCCCTGCCCACTAGCTCCTCTCCACTCCCTAGCCCACCCACCACTTGCCCCTCCCTTAAGTCTTAGCCCTCTTACTTTTAAAATTGATTGCTTGCCCCTCTACCCCCTTCCCCCAGGCTTTTCTGGCAGCCCTGTTGCCAGGTATCCAGTTTTAGACTGGAAACTCCAGTAGAAAACAGGACCTGAGTGTCCGGTTAGCAGTGCTGACTGGAAACTAAATGTCCGGTTATAGGAGTAACCACGTTAGCCTCCGCTCCTCCCACTCCCAACACCCACCCCCGAGGGCTGGAAGAGAACCTGTCCTGCTGCTGCAGGAGGAGGGGCAGCTCAGTGCAGAGAAAGAGAATGGGCTAGAACCAGGTAGGTACTCGCTCCATGTGGGCAGGGGTTGGGGGGTCCTGTTTACCCCCTCCCCAGCCCTGCTGCCCTTGCAGTTTACCCCTGATCTCTCCCTTGCTCCAGAGACCAACCCTAGCTCCTGCCCCACTGTGCTTTTACCACCGGCCCCTTTTACAATTATTCCCCAGGGGGGCCCACAAATATGTTTGGCGCCGGGCCCACAAAAAGTTAATCCGGCCCTGGCCCTGAATATGCCCAGGCACCGCCCCCCCCCGTGCTCCCCTCTAGTCCCAGCTCTGTCCCACACCTCACGCATCCTCAGAGCCCAAACACAGGGCCAGCCGCAGGCTGCGCCATGCACGGCAGGGGCACCTGGCCCACCGACTGCACCACTGAGGCCAGCTGGCTCCTGGCACCCCCTGGAGAACACAGGGAATGGGGCATGGCCAGCCTCTTTTCTTTCCTGGGGGACAGGGAGGGGGCTCAGACCCCCTTGGTAGCGCAAGACCCCCCCAGATCTGGGCACACGCATAGGAGGGGAGAATGTGGGGCTGACAGAGGCCCCTGCCCCAACTCTCCCCCAGGCTCCCTACTACTCACCCCCCCACACCCCTTCCCAGTCTCCCACCCCTCCAGGCCCCCTAGCTTCCCTCCCCCCAACTCCTCTCCTCGCTGCAGTCTCAAACCTCTCTCCCCCCACACCTCTGCCCCCAATTCCCCCTCCTCCCAGGAAGCAGCCACGCGTCTCATTTTGCCCCCAAAGACTCTGATTCCATCCCCCAAACTAAACCTGCCCCCCCAGGACTCTCACACCATTTCGACCTGCTGCTCTCAGCCCCAAACACCTTTCGCCTGAGGGGAGGGGCTGGGATTCACTCGATTGAAGGGGGGTTCGCAGCCAGGTCTGGCATTAGCACAGCTCCGGTAACAGCACAAGGCAACTGGTTTGGAACTCAGGAACCCCTTGGTCAAATGACGGCCAATCTGGATCACTAATGCTCCCCCCACTCCCAGGAGGCCCCTCAATTCCAAAGCAGTTCGACGGACCATTCTGGGTTGAGAGCAGGAAAGAGCATGTAAAAAGATGGGAGTGGAAATCTATAGTCGGTTTTCTGTCTGGGCACCCGCATAGTGTAAAAACGTACATGCGTGTAACTCCTCTTCTCAGCTCGGGCCCCCAAAGATTTCAGGGGGCCACGCCCCCCCCCCAGTAACCCTCGATGGACAGAGACCGCTCCAATCCGCAGTCACAGCAACAGTTTGGTTTATCTGAGGTGTAGGAGGGAGTAATAGCTCCAGCCCCCCCAACTCAGAAGACTCCAAATCTGGGTCACCAGCCCCACCATGCCCCCTCCGGAAGCACCAGATTTCCAACCATCCCACTGGGTTGGTTTTAGAGAACTTCGAAAAATCAACTGTGTACCAGCTGTCTCGACGCCACCACGCCTGTCGCGGGGCTGATAGCTGGCCCGAAAGCCAGCATGGCACTCAATGCAGGATCCAGGTTCATTAACAGCCTCCCCTGACCCCAGATCTGCCCCCTGCTCGGCTAATGCCCCAGCGTCCTCCAGCTCTGCTAATGCCCCAGCGTCCCGCCCCGCCAACCCCCTGCTCTGCTAATGCCCCAGCGTCCCGCCCCGCCGA